CCCCAAAACCCCAAAACCCCAAAACCCCAAGAGATGAATTTCTGAGAGATATCCAGAATTTATAAGAATAAATTAAACTCAGTAAATAACATAAATAACTTTTTGTGTTATCTAGTTTATCTAATCATTTATTAAACAAATTAACTTTAGCATAATTATTTATCGGAAGCAATCCAAAAATTAAATGGAAGCACAAATATAATCAATTGAAGCAGCTGCTTAGCACCAACAAACTAGTCTAATACAGAGCAAGATCAATCAGCTCAAGAATTCCCAGTCTCTGGTGCCATTCTCAGACGAAGATTTCGTGATGATTCAGAAGGAGATTAACAGTTCACTGAATGTGCCCATACCTGAGAAAAAGCAAGATTTCAAAGCATTCAAAAGCAGAGTTGATCAAATTCAAAGCAAGATTAGCAATTTCTCTTCCAATTTCATCAAGCGAATTTTCCCATTCAAAAAATAGCAGCCCATCTAGCAGAGTGATCAAGTAACTTAAGGATAATAAGGAGAAAGGCAGTAATCTTAGCATGTAAAACTAGACCAGAACGGATTCATCTTCATAGATGACTACCAAAATGAACTTAGTAAACTGGATTGGATTTAATTATACAAAATGAAGAAATTTGCATTTACTCAGGACAGAGAACTCTACCCCCAAGTTAAGTACCAGGTATTCCAAGGACTAAGTTCTTTACCTTCTTAAGACAGATAAGCCGCTTGGCTACTTCTCCTCGGTATCGATACTAAAAGCGAGTAATACAGAACTTATCAGGAACTTTATTATGATTTCTTGTGTACGTAATGTGAGCGAGGTTCAGAACAGGAGTATATTGAGAACTTGATTGATAAAGACATTCACAGAACATTTGCCGAATAAAAAATGTTTACTGAGCATCCCAAAAGTGGAAGGAACAGACTATTCAACTTGTTAAAGGCTTATTCTCTTTATGACACAGATGTTGGCTATATGCAAGGCATGAATTTCATTGCGTGGTTGGTACTTAAGAATTTTGGAGAGGACGATGCTCTTGCATTTGCAGTATTTGCCAGAATACTTAAGATAAACGAATGGAAAAGACTTTATATCTAAGACACACCAAAGCTCTTTGAAATGATCCCTGTAATTAAATCATTTTTAATGAAGAGACTGCCTAAACTTGATTAAAAGCTAACTGAGAACTAAGTACCTTTGGAACCATTATTAGCAGCCCCGTTTATCACAATATTTGCTAATTTAATAGAAATAGAAGATGCAGAAAGAGCGCTTGAAAGATTCATGCTGTTGGGCGAAAATTATGTTATTGATACTTTGAAAAATATGTTCACTGTTCACAAGGAAATACTCATGGAGATGGACGCATGGGATCTGCAAGTGTTTATAGGTAGGAAAATGTTCTAAGCTTCTATTGAAAATGGAACGTTTTTCCTATCACATACACATCATAAATGATTAATACATTATATATATGTAAACAAAGCGGATGGTGACGATGTGTTTATTGGAGACCTATTGTAATCATAAACTATATAAATTTAAACGTTTATTCTTATTATTCTTGATTTCTTATCACTTATGCAATCAATGTTTGAAGTATGGGGTTTTGGGGTTTTGGGGTTTTGGGGTTTTGGGGTTTTGGGG